GCGTGATCCTTTCTAGTTGTCCAGTGGTCTTTGGAGCCTGCAAAGATTTTACCAATTCAAAAAATTGTCGATTCTAAAATATTGCGCAATTGAGCATTGGGATCAGTATGAGGCGGAATCCATCCCACTTCTGATGCGGGCGCTTGGTTAAAATCACCATTAAAGTTCAAAGTATTTTCCATTGATGCGGGTGTCTGCTTTAAATCGCCAGGATCTTATGTTCTTGGTATTTATAATATTTTCCAGCGTAGTGTACGACTTCACGTTCGACTCATTCAAGCTTCTTTTCAATAATGAAACAAGTAAAGAAGTATAATCACATATCAAATATCGTCGTTTCAATTTTCTCTAAACTACGTTTGCATGATAAGCAGGGGGTTTTCCCCGATTTCAAGCTTTTTCGATAATATGCTGAATTAGAGTTAATGAAATAATTGAACCAAGTTCGGTAGAAAACTATAAAGTGGTTACCGAGGTATACCTTTGTAGTCATAAAGTGGGCGACTCCTCGCCCAATTTCTAAAAGTCTATAGCAGTCTTATTTATTGTTAAGATATTGTTGTAACTATTAACTAGGAAAAATTGGGCACAAGTGCGCTCGGGTATAACAAATTACCAATCTCGTTTGTACCTTACTGACTTCGATCGTGACAGGAGCACACTCGGTAACGCGACATGCTTTTACCTAGCTTTCAAAATCCGAAACATTATGAGAACAGAACATACCCACAATATACTTTGATCAAGTGGAAAAATATCTATACAGTCCACTTGGCTTGAAAGAATTCATTTAGTAAACAAAGCCATTCGTTACATAACAAAAAACGGTTTACAATGCATATCACAGCGCACGGCAGTGCGCGCGAGTGACGAAAGCAGCCACAGTGCATGCTGAAATGACTGGCTTATATATACACGAGATTTGGAAGTTTTTATCCAGACGTCCCATCGACATGTTTGATATATCGTTGGAAAGGTCTTGGAGAGTGTGTCCAGAAAATATATTCAAGCTTCGTAAACGATTAACCGGATTCTTAAAAATTAGGCTAAAGTGTTGCGAAACAAAAAACGTTTTTTTGCTTTTGCAGGTTTAAGGGGCATGTGGATAAACCCAACATATTTAGTGTTATTCTATAGGCCAATACCTTTCAAACGATACATTATATATTAAGTTCCGGCCACTAGTTGGAAAGATATAGAGGTAAATGTGTTTTGGTTCGTGTNAGGAAAAATTGGGCACAAGTGCGCTCGGGTATAACAAATTACCAATCTCGTTTGTACCTTACTGACTTCGATCGTGACAGGAGCACACTCGGTAACGCGACATGCTTTTACCTAGCTTTCAAAATCCGAAACATTATGAGAACAGAACATACCCACAATATACTTTGATCAAGTGGAAAAATATCTATACAGTCCACTTGGCTTGAAAGAATTCATTTAGTAAACAAAGCCATTCGTTACATAACAAAAAACGGTTTACAATGCATATCACAGCGCACGGCAGTGCGCGCGAGTGACGAAAGCAGCCACAGTGCATGCTGAAATGACTGGCTTATATATACACGAGATTTGGAAGTTTTTATCCAGACGTCCCATCGACATGTTTGATATATCGTTGGAAAGGTCTTGGAGAGTGTGTCCAGAAAATATATTCAAGCTTCGTAAACGATTAACCGGATTCTTAAAAATTAGGCTAAAGTGTTGCGAAACAAAAAACGTTTTTTTGCTTTTGCAGGTTTAAGGGGCATGTGGATAAACCCAACATATTTAGTGTTATTCTATAGGCCAATACCTTTCAAACGATACATTATATATTAAGTTCCGGCCACTAGTTGGAAAGATATAGAGGTAAATGTGTTTTGGTTCGTGTCTCCACTACGAGATGCTTTGGTATGTATGTGGCGTCTGTACGTACCATCATTTAATTTTTTTCAAACTTTCAGGAATTAAAGTACACCAAAAACTAAGAAGGTTTTGTTCCAGGATGTTTTGATTCGTATGCCTGTGTGGGCGTGGCTGCTGCCTGAAATTCGAAAAAAGGCAATTTTTTAAACTACCACTGAGGCCGCACTACTCAGTCCATGTCATTGATGTGGATATCAGTATAAGGGTCTCCAAACAAGCTATCTAACGCTATCTTTTTATACCCTAGCGCACTTGTGCACAAGGGTATTATAACTTTGTTCACATAACGGTTGTTTGTAACAGGCAAAACGAATCGAGATAGATATAGACAAATGTATACATAAATGATCAGAATGAAAAGAGAAATCGATTAAGCGGTGACTGTCTGTCCGTCCGTCCGTC